TTACCTAGGAGCCCCTGGCTCCAAGGAAGAGTTCCTCTGGAGCAGTTTGGTAACACTACCCGGGTATTAGCAAGTTGCCTCTATCCATTGCCATAAGGCTGTGGTTCACTGGTGGATATTAAAAGAATTGAAGAGCAGAAAGCCATCTCTAGAAACTTGCTACCAAGGGAAAGGAGTTCATTCTGTTAAGGAGACTAAAGGCAAATATACAAGGCTTTCAATTTGGGAATTTTAAAAGCAAAAATCATAGGAATAACTTGGGAAATCAAGCTCCGAGAGGTCGCCATCTCTTCTTGGTATGAGAACATAATTTCCCAACATATTAGGTGGAGGGACACCTGCTTCAAAGATAACACACTGCAATAAATATGGGAAATGTCATCCTTAGATGAAATGCCCTTCAACTAAGTGAACAATTTATCAGCAGAACACTCTGGAAGATTCCTGTGTAGGTGTCTATGCTATCTGAATTCCTACCAACACTCTAAATGCACACATAATTCATACCCTCAGATCTTTCAAACACATTTATAATCCATCATAACCACTGTGTGAGTTTTACCTACACCAACAAAATCCTACTGTTTGAAGATAATTTTGGATTAGACATATACATGTCTATGCCTCCGATGTCTTCCTCTAATACTGGGAGAGGAGCAAACCAGTTATGGTATATGCATAGGTAAGATAGCAGAAAATTGTGTATCTCTAAAACCAAAAAGACAAGTAAAGTTAAGTGGCAAAGGATCTAGAAATAAGAGAAAATAGCAGCCAGGAAGAATAATGGGGAAATGGAGAGCAACAAGATAAATTTAGTTTTGGAGAATTGTGAGTGGAGTGGCAAAAGGACTTGAAAATGCACTGTCACCAAAAGTTATCACTGCAGTGTCTAAATCATCACAGCATGGCAGTTCAGAAAAGGTTAACACTTGTGCTCCTTTTTCCTGAATCTCTAGCTGTCATTCTAGCCTAAAGCCAAAGAACAAGGCTCACTGCTTCTTTATGCCAGCCCTCCCACATTCTGCTCTGTCCCTTCCTGTGCACTCTGCTCAGTCAGCAGCCCACCCGCAGCATCTTCCCTCTTTGATCTGCCCAAGGCCTTTTTCCCACCATCTCCAAAACAATTGCCGAAGCAGTGGCTCGGCTCTGGATCATCATAAGACAGCAGCCAGCCAGAAGCCTGGGAAGCCTTGAGCCTTGTGAGAGGATATGCCAGGCATCTGTCGAAACTCTCCAGTGAGGTCAAATTAGTTGGGGGGCAGGGGGAGGTCCCTCTGAATGGGAGAATACCATGATTGCTGTGGGACACAGAGTTCTTTTGACTTGGAGTTTAATAAGCCTCCACTTCAATAGGACCTACGTGTCCTGAAAGATAAGGACAAGATGGAAAGGTGCCATTTATCTCGGCTGGCTGCCTGCTGCATAAGCTGCAGACTGGTGGCAAGACCTGGATCATAGTGACTCACTAAAAAAACAGGTCTGCTCTTTGGTTACAGTGCTAGCCCCTTCCCATAAAGACACTTTCCTCGATGTCAGCAGAGCAGGGTCCATGAGAGAATCTGTGTTGAACTTGGAAGAGGAACAAAATTTTGATTGCAGGAACAAGTTCTCTGTACACCTGAGGCATCATTTTTTATGTAGAGCTCAGAGCCAAGTGATTATAGAGTAGTATGGGCAAGAGACTTAATGGGATTAGAATGATGGAAAGGAAAAGCATATAAATGAGGACTTTTTAAGAGACAAGGCTATAAATGCAGGCATAGGTCTTCAGACCATTAAAGTCATCATAATCTTTCCCTGACCCTTTTTTTTAATTGAGATATAACTGACCTATAACATTGTATTAGTTTCAGGTATACAATGTAATGATTAGATACATGTTATCAACCTGACCATTTTGATGCAATGCAAAATAGTCACCTGAGTGACCTTGTACTTAGTAGACTAAGAAAATACTTCCAAGACAAAAGGCTTAATTTGGGAAAGTTTCCCTAATTGTCATTTGCTAAGTAGACTAGAGAGGTTTTCCCTAGAAGAACTTCTAAGGGAAATTCACGGTACCATTTGTAAAACAAAGCTAAATTATCTGTTTAAATGAGATAGAAGCAGACAGCTGACATATTCCTCTGCCTTCAAACATAACATTACTTGAGCCATCTCCAACAGAGAGGGACACATTTTCTATTCGAGTCCCCCCCCTTTATCAGATTAGTTCCAGAGCTACCTATGCACTAAAAATACATCCCTAATATTCCATACCTAAAAATTTTACCCTGGGAAGAACGGGCCTAATGGAGTTGAGTCATAGCAGAAAAGCAAAAATTCAATTATCAATTACTATATTTGAGGATAAGGAAAAGGAATGTTTTCCTCTGAATATTACAGAGGAGACCAGTCACACACCACTCAGGAGCAAAGCCTGCTCTGATAGGCTGCTATAACAAAAAGGAAAATAAGAATCAATGGATTTGCCCTGAGACATGGTTTCAAGCCTCCATATGTGCTAGAGTTGAGATGGCTTGAGTCTGGAACACATGACTCAGCCTCTGCCTCTGTGATTCTGCCAAGGAGAAAGCTCCCAGCCTGCTGCCCCCATCAAATGCTCTACCTCCTTTAGCAACAGCAACTCAGTTACCCAACAACTCGACTCCCTGCAAAAGTATATGTTGGATGAGGACTAAAAAATTAACAGTAATTGATGAGTTCATTTGAGATATCTGGCCACTAGATGCCATCATTCGATCCTAGCCCAACATTTAAAACATCTTCTTTAAACTGTAAATCTATGTATTCTGGGATAGTGCCCTGGAAAACAACTAAAAATCTCTGGAACAAATACCCAGAAAAGTGTAGCAGTCTGTTTTTTTCTCTTAAAATGGTTCAAATTTTAGAACAGAGAAGTCAGTCTTTACCAACCATTCTTACTGGGAGGCAGAAGGCAGAGATATATTTCGGGCAACTGCCCAGTGGGTACTACAGATTAACCTCCTCTCCATACATGTGTATCATTTTCATGATTAACAACCAGTTAACCCTAGGCTCTCAGACACGTGACCCAAGACGGCTGAAGAGTCTTTGTCTGTCTCCAACTGCATGGGCACCCTTTTTGGAGGGGCAGCGGGGGTCGATAGATACTCCAATACCAAAGCAATCTGGACAAGCTTCTTATAGTTTGTTTAAAAAGAAAGGCCCAATGGGCAAAGCAATTTCTTTTTAAATTAAAAGAGGCATAGGTTACTAAATCTGAGCTAGCGCCCACATTTTCTTTTTGGGAGTGGAACCAAAAGATGATTCAGACAGGGAGATAGGCAGCAGGGTCCAGGGAATGAAGAGTCATGAGATCCCAGTTTTATTCCTGGCTCTACCCAAGCCTTGCCATGTGATCACCAGCGAGCTCCTTTTTCTTGGCAGGTCTCTTAGCTTTTCCTTCTCTAAAAGAATACAGTATTATCCTCGTCCTGTAATTTGCTCTGTGATTTCCTCACCAAAAGGAGAAGGAAGGGAATATAGGAGGTGTAGCAAAAGTTTAAAGGGTGTGCTAAGCTCCTTAGACCTGCACACCAGGCATATGTAAGTATTCCTCATTTTCAATAAAGCAACTTAGCAGTATTTCTGATTCAGACAGCTGATGAAGCAGGACATTAGCCTGATTTTATACAACCTGAAGTTTAGCAATTAAGCAATTCAGTTCAAAGACATCATAGGTGAGATGGCATTACCTACTGGAAGAGTATGAACCCACAACCCAGCTCCAATAAGCATTTTAATACCCCAGAGAAGAAATCAAAGTATAGCTATAATTCAGGAGACCTCTAGGAACTAGGACCATTCTTACTGGGGGACAGAAGGCAGTCAATGAATGAAAGTGGGAGAGCTACCTCACACACAATAGCCAGAAAGCTGAGGGCTTGGTCAACTAAATAGGTTTTCTTTTTTTGGTTTCAAGTTTATAAAGCCTCCCACTTGTTATAGTGGAGTCTGTTTTTTTCTCTTAAAACGGTTCAAATTTTAGAACAGAGAAGTCAGTCTTTACCAAAGTATACTTTAGCATCAATTCTTGCTGGAACATACCCATTCCCTGAAGTGCAAACCATCTAGGAGTTAAAAGTAAGAATATTCCTACAAGGACAAGTGACATCCAAGACTAGTGCCAGGCCAGCAGCAAAGTTCTCTCTATTTCACATGAACACAGTTTAATGTTGCAATCGAGTAATATCTATATCAAGGCTAAGCAGATACATACTAATCATATGCTTAGGAGTTTGGGGGTCCCTGCATTTGTCAAGGGAAGGCCCTATCCTTGAACACAAATAGCTGACCACCTCGCCACACCACAGACCTATGTTCCAGAATCTAACCAGTAAGGGGCAGGGCGCAGCTCTTGGCCTGCCATAAACTTTTAATTGCTGCGGGTCCCATCCTTTCTCAGACCCCCAAGATTGTTCCTATTCCAATACTAATCTCAAAAATAAATTAAAGGGAAAGACACATGGCCATCAGGATTCATTTTTTCACCTGAGGGGACCAACTTCCCACTGAGCATGGGAAGACAAGGAACCTTCTGATTTCAAGGTCCTTGGAGTACTTCACAATATCTGAAATCATTTTCTACCCTTTCCAAAATAAAAGTTTAAAGGCTTTGTAAGGGCATGAGTTAAAATATTTACACATCTGTAACAGGCTTAAGGCAGGGCTAGATAAATAGTAAGAACTTGGTGAGGGGTGGCAGTGGTTAGCTTACTGTATGAATGAGAAAATGGAAATTGCTCCTTGACCTTAGTGATTGTCTATTCAGGAGCAAAAGAAAGGAACTTGCAGAGAAGATAAAAGACACAAAGTCCACTCACATGAGCACAGCTACAACTAGAAGTAGCAGATGGTACCTTCCTCTTGGGGGATTGTACAGCTGCCAGTTCACCAAAACAGGGAGCCCCTGTGCCCTTGATTTTCCAGCTCTTCCACCCTCAGGCTCATATGCTACCTGAGGGAACTACACGTACCTCTTCCTCCAGCTTTACCACCTTGGCCTGGGCATTGCTCAGGGCCTGGTCTCGGATTTCGATGTGTCGCCTTTGGTCCTCATTGGTAGAACGGGTAGTGGCCAGCTCCGCTTCCAGCTTCTCCTTCTCCCGCTGGCTTTCCTTATCTATCAGGACATGAAATATAATTACTGCCATGCTGGAGCTGGCTCAAACCCTTACCTGAGCAAAACTGACCATCAAACCCATTACTAGCCATTCCAGTGCTCCACACAGCTGAAAGAACCAGGGTACCCCAAGTCTGGATTCTACCACTAGTGTGACTATTATCTTGCTCTGTAAACTCAGAAAAGTCACTGAGCAATGGTTGTTGTGCAGAAGTAATAAGAAAGTAGATGTAAGAAGTGCTACGAAAAGGACTACAAAAAAGAATACATACACACATCCACACAGAGAGGAGTGTGAACAAGCAGGTCCAGGGCAAGAAGCCACACATTTTGTTTTGTTCTGTCCTGGGAGGCTGCCACCCTCTCCACTGGTGAACTAGGTTCCAGGATCACCGTGAGACCCCAGGAGCACCTTCACGACCACTTACACTAGGCCCTGATGATGCCAGAAAAACTATATTCTCTTCTTTAAGACATTCTGACAAAGGAACAGGAGGCTCAGGGAAACGAGGAAGAAAAAAGCCCCAGTTCTGAAGCCAGAGCACAAGAGAGCAAGCCAGGAAGGGAGGGGAATATGGTAAGTGAAGATCAAACAAACTTGTAAAAGCTGACTGGAAGCTGCATGGAATGACTTGAAAGGGTCATGTAGAGGCTCAGCAAAAATGGGGCCTGACAAGCCCCCACCAAGCACTCCTCCAACTGGGAGCCCCTCTGAGGGAGGTGGGGGCAGGGAGCACCAACCGCGGACATCTGCAGAAGTGAGGGGAGTTCATCTGTTCCCCCCATACTCATTCTTCCTATGGACTCAGTCCACTGCGTAGCTTTTATTGCTGGTTTTATTGTGGTAATTGGAAAGAACAAGGCATTGTCTAGCTGGGTGGAGTCCATTAGGGACTGATAATGACGAGGATTAATTCATTTTAATTCATTGTCAGCGTCCTAGAAGTATTTCCAGACAAAAGAAACACTATTATGAGGAAGACATAGCCCTGCCCTCCCCCACACCCTCTAAGTCCACAACCAGAGTCACTAGTTCAGGGCACAGCAGCGGTCCCCCTCTAGCTACCCTTGCAGTCTGCCAATGGGCAGTGGTGTGATAACATAGAGGGTGTTTAACTAAGGGAGCCTCAGGTGCAGGTTACCTATTTCAAACACTAACCATCAGTCCTGCAGGTTAATCCCATCTCTACCAGAGCCAGAACTGGAGCCTTCGACAATAAACCCCTTCGACATCAAGGGTCCCCACGTTCACTAAGCTCCTTTTCAGTTAGCCGTGACAAAAGCAAGGATTTCAAGGGGCGTCTCTGGTTTAATACCAAAGGAGCCATGTTGATGTGACTAGATGTTGTGGCAAGCAGTCTTCTTGGTCCCAAAGGAACAGAATGAAATCTCCTAACTTCATGCTTGAACAAGAAAAAGAATCCCTAGATGAATTCACTCTGTCCTGACTATTCTAGAAGGATAAGTAGCACTGTGTGACTTTTCACACACCTTGCTCCCATCCACGCATTAATACCTGCTGCTGAAGTTTTCTGACTTACTTTTCGCAAAGAGCTGAGAGATGGTTTTTCTCGTATCCTCTGAACCCTCATATTCCTTCTCCGCAAGTTGCTTGTTGGCAGTCTCTAGACGCTCTGTGGAATTCAGAGACTATCAGTAGAGCCCCATTTACAAACTTTCAAGCACATGCTGCTTGCCCTCTCAATACTGAGCTTGGGCAAAACAAGTCTGCTGCTTCTTGTTACACAGGAATGGGTGGTACAGGCATAGGTTTGCAAATGTGGATCCCAAAATAATACCAGCCCATGACAGGGACAGAGGAGGTGAATACTTAACACTTTCACTGACAAAACCTAAGTGCAGAAGTTTAAATTTCAGTGAAAGAGTCTGCAGTGTCCACGGTTCTGAAGGTGTTGAAGGTGGGTCATTTCTCATCATCTCCAACAGTATCATGTTAAGGTAAAATTCAAGGAAGGTGTCCTAGAAGAAATGGAGGATATCACTATTTCAAGCTTGCATAGCTAAAAGCCAGACTTCTGGAAAACTCAGAGAGGCAGAGAGACCACACAGATCGTGGGGGCAGGCCAGGTGGGACCAGGAGTCCCAGGAGGGATACTGTTTGATTGACACGTCAGTTCATTACACTTTGATTAAGCAAGCTTGGGACCAAGTACTATCACAGTCACAAAAACCTAGCCTGGTCTATGCCCTGCAATTTACAGACCATATTCATGGGTTGGACAGGCCCTAGGAGCCTCCACATAGGCGCCTTAGCCCTTGCCTTCACTACGGTGGCCCACACTTCAGAAGTGATTGCCTCACCTCTCAGATCCCTGTTGAAGTCATGCATCCTTCGAATCTCTCCTTCAAGCTTGTTCCTCATGGCTTTTTCCAGGGTTTCTCTTTTGGAGGATGACTTTACAAGGTTCTCATATGCCTCCGAGACCCGCTGGATTTCTGTCTCCACCTGAACCAGAAAAAGGAAACACAGTGGGGATGGTAGGAGCTTCATGGGAGAGACGGTTGGAAAACATACACACAAATCCTTAGTGACAGCTTCTCCCAGAACTTTACAGATAGAGTCAGACCAGATAACCCACTCAGGTGAGAAAAGTTAGGAAGAATTCCTAAGTTCATCCATCAGCTCAGGAATTAACTCACAGGAGTGTGAGATTTCCTCAGGTAAAAAACAAACAGTTTCTGCCTTCAGAGGAGATGGTGGGAGAGAAGGAATTTCGTCGGGATAGTTATAAATGATTCTCATTTCTGCATAAGAATTTTCTTAATTTTGAAATAATGATAACCCAGATAATATGTAGATAATGTTAATACGGGGCATTCAAAGCGCTTTCACATGTTTATTTCGATTCACCTTGATATTGGCCTTCATAAGGAAATTCTCCCCCTTTTGAGCGGAGAGGAATTAAATTGCCTTTTCTGAGATCAACTCAATGGCAGAGGCAAACCCAAAAACCTCCAAGCCTCAGCCACAAATTATGCAGTAGTTCAGCCCAATTTAACAAATATTTACCAAGGACCAAATATTTACAAGAACTCTTTAAAACACCGTGGGATGTGTATACCTGCATGAGGACATTATAGCTGCCCTCAAGGAGTTTTCAATCTAATCAAGTAAAAGAATATAGAGAAAGACACATTACTAAGAAAGTAGGAGTAGTGCTATAAAGTGCAGAGGAAGAAGCGGTTATTCCTGGCTGGGGGGGGAGTCTGGGTCAGATTTCAATGGGCAGAGGTGAGGGGAAGGGTATTCTATTCTGGGTGAGCGAATACATTCCCAGAATGACCAGTAGTCTCATTTGGCTGGACACTGTGGGGTACACAGAGGGAAGCTGGTGAGATCTGGCTGTTAAGACAGATTGGAGTCAGATCATAAAAGGGCTTTAATGCCAGGCATTTGGACTTTATCCCGCAGTCAGTAGGAAACCAGTACAGATTTTTGAACAGAAATTCTTGATTGGAATTGTGTTTATGACACCCCTGCAAAGAAGGGATCTTGCCCTGAATCAGCCTGAATCGGTAAGCAAAGAAGAAATTAGACTCCAGACTCTTTCTCTAACCAGTATAGCTTCATTACACATATAATAACCACAGAGATATTTGCATATAGTTTGTATAAGACAAATAAATCCCATGGCCTATTAAGCAATCTTCAAATTAAGTTTGACTCCAGCAAGCATTCTGCATTCCTTCTTAGTTTTCCACTGTCCTCCTTAACAAAGCTCAGGGACTTTATTCGGAGAAATATCAGGCCCCCAGTGGCAGAGTAGGAGGAGGCTGGGGTGACCAAGCAACACAGATTCCTCCTGCTCCAGCTCCCAAATTATGCCTGAGGCAGGACTGCCTGCAGACAAAGGAGGCTTATACTACAGAAAAGAGCAGGCTTGAGAGTGTTTTTCTCCTTGCAGATGGCACCAAGATAGCAGCACAGAAGGTGAAAACTGGTGAATGGCATTTAGAGACAAGATCTGCAAGGCCTGAGCCTGATAAAGCTTTTGCATGAAATTCAAGTGCTGGAGAGAGAAAATAAACATTTCCATTGGAAAGAGCAGGCTTGGTGTTCCTTTGCTCTGGGCAGGCTATAGAGTGCAAGGCTTTGCAGCTCGCCCCAGAATGCCACACCTGGAAGGCAGTCCCTTACTTGAATGGGTCAGAGTACTATTTCAATATCTTGTCCCAACCCTTCTCCCTATCCCTCATGTAGATACTGTACCATCCAAAAAGGCAAGCTGTAGTGAATCAACAAGACCTCCAGGAAAAAAAAGACACAGAAGAGCAGATCCACTGCTCAAGCATGTGCGCGTGGGTGGGTGTGTAAGGGGGTTGCTACATAAAAATACTTAGCTGATAGTAAGCTCTCCTCTCCTTTAAGACCCAGATCTGGTGTTTACGAATTCTCAGCTTGATTCAGGCCCTTGAAAGTTCCACTCCTGGGTGTCTTCTAAGGACAGAGCTGCTGAACAATGGCAAGCAACCTCCCCTCCCCACTCCCCACCCTCAGCCTCACCTCTCTGAACAGTTCACATTGTTGGGAGATCAAACCACATGAGCTCCACAATGACAAAAGCTGCAGAGAAGCTGCCAAAGGCATAACCTTGTTCACCAACAGCCACTGGAAGCCAAGAGCTAAGATTCCTAGCTTAGGGCACTCAACAGTAAAGTCCCAGCTGCAGGAGACAGGAGGGGCCCAGCAAAGAACATGAACTTGGGACATGCACTACTTTTCCTACTTCCTCAGCCTCAGGCTGTCACCTGTCACCCAGCTGTGGTGCTAAGCCCCTTCTGCACCCCACACACAGTGGAGAAAGAGAGCAGATATTGAGTTTGAGCTGCAGGGAAAAACCAAAGCAAAAAGGGGAAATGGAGGGGGTGCTTGAAACAGGGTTAGTAGGAGAATGCCCACTCGGAAAGGGCTGTAAGCCCTTTCCAGAACAAGGCAGGGTGGGATCTAACTTCAGTGGTAACATTTCTGTAGGAACTACAGTTTTATATCTAAGATGCAAATACTGTATGTGGGAAAATATAATCAAGACAAAAGTGTTGAGGCTGGCAGGTCCTTCACCTATAAGAGACATTCCCAGTGTTCTTGGCCTCATGAAGAAGCTTCTCTGCCTTCTGAAATTCTTAAGTAATCAATTAAGTTTTCTTTCAGGCTAAAGCATCTGGGAAAAGTATAAACATGGTTTTTTCTCCTGGCCTAAATGTAAAATGTTACTTTTCCTAGAAAGACAGGCAGAAGGTTTTTTCCAAAGTTTGATGCACATGTCACCTTCAGATATAAGAATCCTGAAGATCTGCCCATAAGTCACGCAGGCACCAAGAAGTGGAGACCTTTATATTGCTATTAAACAAGGCTTAAAATTCACTCTCGATCCCTGAAGTGAGGGGGGTGCTCACCTTCTGCAGTCTTGCCACCTTCTCGTAGCACCCTTCTAACTCCTGCCGCAAGTTCCGGTTCTCGTCTGAGAGGATCTCAACCATCTGCTGGGCTCTGGAGACAATGGCAAAGGGGTCCGAGGGCACTGGCGGGTAAGAAGCCGATGACTGCTGGGCCCGAGGCATAGCTGAATAGGCTTCTCCTGGCTGCAGCGGCTGCTGTGCCTGGTGATGGTGGTGGTGCTGCGGCGGCGGCTGCTGCTGACTCAGGCCAGGCTGGGAGAGACGGTAATGGTCACCCTGGTGAGCCTGGTTAGGAAGGAAATGCTGCTGCGGCCTAGGCAGGTGAGCTGAGTGATCTCCTTGGCTTGGAACCAAGGGGTGTTGGGCAGGAGACAATCTAGTGGATGGTGGAGACTGCAGCAAGGGCAGGGAACCCCCAGACGTGAGGGAAGAAGTAGGGCTGTGAGGTTGAGAGTTCCTGGCTGACAAGGGCAATGAGATGTCCTGCGCTGGCCTGTAAAACATGGAGGGCACACTCAAGTTAAGCTCTCTCTGAACACAGTGGCAGACAAGGGCACAGGGAAGGCAGATGACGGGGCTTCCAGTGGCCCCAAAACACCTGTAAAATGAGGAATGGGCAAGGTTAGACCACAGAATTGCTGCAGAGACCCCTACAAGTCTTTTCCAGGCCTGACGTTCTGTGACTGCCTGACACACAGAGCTGTGACTCCATAGAGGATTGAACCACATGACTTCAAAGATTGCTTTGTGAAAATCTACGTAATGCATGATGTATGCTCATTGCTCAAATCTAATCATTTTCAATGAATGTTCCACAAGGTAATATTCACCTCATTATTTTAAATGAAACCTTTCCTGACATCCTAGATGTGGTCCGGCACATGTAAAGAGCCAAATTTAGAAAATATGTTCTACTTGCCCACAAAGAAACAGCAAATCACAGTAAAAAACTAACTACCCCCTCATCTTGCTATCTGCAATACTCTTTGATAATTCATATATTCACAGAAAATGACTTGAGGATATACAGATATTACATTAGAGGCACTAAATAATTACTGTTGATTAGAGTTATTAATAATTGAATGATGCCTCTTAGCTGCAATAATACCAACACTTGGCAGGGATTATCATCATACTATTTTTGATGTACTGAATCACAAAATGTAAGGACTGGAAAGGCCTTAAACACTTTACTCAAACTCTTGTCATAAGAAACTGAAGTCCACAGAGAGGAAGCAATCTGCCAAACATTACAAAGTGAGTTAGTGATAGTGCCAGGGCAGAACCCTTATTTCCCAATTCCCATTTTCGAGCTCTTTCCACTACCATGCAGCACTGATTTCCACACACTCATGTTCAGATTCCCAGCCTACTGCTTATGAAAGTTCCAGAAAGACAACTTTGGTACATTGTTAAATGTGGCTCTCCCATTTTTGTACCTAATACTGGATATTAGCTATTAAGTGAAACAATCAGAGTCCGTGAGTGGGTCACTTCCACATCACCACTACCAGGAAGAACATTTGTCAGGATACACAGAAAACGAAACATTTGTTCACCCTTCCCCCCCAACCCATGTTCATCTAAGCTCACATACTCCTGCATGTGAATGCTTGTCCTACAGTTGATATTTCTCAATCCAGCAAAGACAGATGGCCAAGAACATGGGATTTGGCTCTCCAAAGAGTTTGGAGACCTTTTCTACCGCTTACTAGCTTCATAACCTTGCCCAAGTCACTTAATCGGCATGAGCTTGTTTCATTCCTGAGGTTGCAAATGAATTACAAAAATACTGGGCTCTTTTCATTTTTAGACTCACTAGGAATTATACAGTCTCTTATCTACTTCCCAGTGAGACAAGTTGACCCTGTTAGTGATTTTACTTATGGGATATCCACTTAATCTTTGCACTAAATTGCATAAAATTCATGGTGGAACTGGGACAAATCACCAAGAGCAATTAACTTTTAACTGGTATTCCAGAGGCAAAAGCACACTGCTCCCATACACATTCCAGCTATCATCATTGTTCATTTATCTATCTCTATAAGAAAGCCTCACTAGCAGGGCTTTTGACAGCTACAAAATCATTCCAAACACTTGCTCATGGATACCCAATAACCAGATGCTTGCCAGAGCCCTCAAACCTGTTCCAGCCTTAGGTTCCATCTCTCAGCCACATCAATGCTTCTGCTATACCCACATTCTTCTAATTTCATACATATGCCACTAGAAATAAGTGCTGAATACTGGAGAGGACATGCAACTTACTTCTGGACAGAAGAATTTACATGGTTCTCATAATTACTACTGGAAAGTTGTGACCATATATATAATCTTTCTTTTGAAGAGCCCAAAGTGCTTATCAAACCAAAAACCTATTTATATATATAGGATGTGAGGAAGAGTCTTTCCCCATTTTCTGTACTGTGGATCTGCACTTTCCTCTGATGTAAAATGGGCTATGTGCTCTCCTTTCTTTTTGAACACAAGCTATTATGGTATTTATATGTATAATAGATACATATACAATATATATAAATATTATAATATTTATATATTCCTATAAATATATATCCCTAGAGTTAAAATATGTCCTGGGATTTGTTGGGGCTTTTGGATATCCTGGGCAGAAAAGAGGGGCTTAAATTTCTTCTTCTCCAATCTAGCTCTCAAAATTTAAAGGGAAGATGACCTTATTAACCTTCAACTTTGTTGCCAGGATTTGGAAACTCAAGGCCTGGAGAGTGTTCTCTTTCTGAACACCTAGTTCTGAACTTCCTCCCCCCAGCAACCCTGCATCCCATCAGCAACCTAGTCTTCTCTCTCCAACAGACTGGCCACTGGCCTCCCGCTGCCTGGAAGGAAAGGCCCCTCCATGCTCTCGACAGCATATGGTCTACCAGGGGCCTCAGAAAGGAGGAGACCACAAGGTCTCCAGAAGGAGGTCTTCAGCGTCGGATAAGCCCAGGATGGCAGTGGCTCTGGCCATGACTCTGGGCTCTGCCTGGAGGTAACTGGAGACAAGGCAGCTGCCCCTTGGGGTCTCCAGGCTGGAAGAGGAAGCAGATTTCAGTGCAGCGTGATGTTCGGAAAATCAAGGCAGTCCGCCCTGGCAGGTTTGCAAACACAAAGCAAGGCTTGGGCAGTTGCAAAAGGAGAGAAAGCCCTCCAGCCAAAGAACTCCATCTGGGCTCCAGCATCCACCCACCACAAAAATAGCAGGACAGTATTAGCACTCATGTGAACCTCCCCCCAGAGGAGGAGACTGAGGAAAGCCAGGCGTCTGGGAGAGCTGGGGGAGGGAGGGGGGAGTCAGAGGAAGCAAAAATACACTCAAGATGAAATAATAGTAAGAGTCATAGTAATAATAAAGGTGGCAGCTGGGTGAGCGGCACACTCCCCAGATCCTTCCGCTGCACAGCAGTGTGAATCGCTCCCCACTGACATATTAACCAGGAACAACAGCCAGCAGGCTGCAGACAATAGAATCACATGATCCCATGGAAGCCTTGACCTGCCTCTCTGCCCCTTCCCTCCCTTCACCCTGCTCCTTCCTAAGACAACCTGGGCCCCCAGTGCTCTGGAAAAGGGAACATGGCATACATGGCAGGACAGAGGCCAAAGACCAAAATCAGCATTCCCCCACTACCACCCGAAGCGAGGGAACTCCCTCCCAGAGACAGCTTGTGAGGACACAAGGGGAAAGCAGAGCTGCCTACCGAGCTGACACAGCACCTTCCACCCTGCCACCTGGCTGCCTGGGAGCCCCCACCCTCATAAACCACACAGCCACCCGCACACCCCTCAGCCCCCCTACATGCTCCTGGCCCACACATGTGCAAACCCGCACGTGTGCACTCTCACCAGAGCAGGTGCCACCAATAGTCTGGAACCCAATTTATTCTCCCCACAGAAACTGTGCCTTCCCCAGGCTCTGTGATGGTGAATCTGTGAATCCTGGAGCAGGCTGCAAATTCCTGATTGCTTCTCTTGCACAACCAGCTCTGCTCTGAACTACAGAGTTAGGTCACCCTTAGATTCCACCAAACAAGGATTTCAAGAAACCTCAAATCTGGGCATGATTTCAACAACTGAAAGGAGGTGGCTGCTTTACAAACAGAAAGGATTTAATTTTTAAAAGTAGTTGATAAATGTATAAACCCCAGATGCAGAAATGGCTCAGCACTTGGAAAGACAAAGATTCAGAAAACGTTTAATTCTTCCAATGGCTTGGCCTTGTTTCCCATCTGGAGTTCTGGGCATTCAGGATATTTATCTTCTAAGTGGGATGGAGGGCATAGGGAAGATGAAGTAATAAAAAGATTGTTTGTAACATTTTGTTCATTTTAACAGCAAATCTCTAAGCATTTCACTGTACCTCTAAAGGCAAACAAAGGATTTTGGAACAGCAATTTGTTCAAAGAGCTTGCTTTGCATCCTGATCTGTAATTTGTGGATTAAGAACTAAGAATTTCCTCTTCTAGTTGTTTAGCGCTAGCAGCAGTTACTTGGAAAGGTTCTCACCAACTATCTAGCTGGAGGGTTAAAGGAAATAAAGGAGGAAAAACGTGTCACCACTTAAAGCAGTACACTTTGGGAAAGCAGTTCAACTACCTCCCTTTGCCAGTAATTGTCAATAGTTGCCACTCCCTCACCACAGGCCCTGCAAAAACTTTACAGCAGCGAGATTTGTCGGGTGAGCCCCAAACTTCACACAGAGCATCTTCTGATTAGGACCATTTTGGGTCTGACTATTCACTGAGGATACCAAACACCCTGTTCCTCTCACACAGAAAAAAAAAAAAAAAGCTGTTAGAGCAAACCTATGTATTAAAATACTACGAAAAAAAAAACACCTTCTTTGGGCTCCTTATTACTTATTTAGGCAGATCAAAGGGCTTTTCCATCCAGCTTCAAACACTGTGGGAGTCGTTTCAGATCACAAACAATACTGGTGAATGAGTTCTGCAAATAGCTTTCCTGGGAAGGCGGGCCCTTTGCTGAGCAGGGCTTTGGATTCTGCTCCACACCCCAGCCAGCACACTCCCCGCCCACAAGGCAACGGACGTCAGCCCATCCACAGAAGGGAGGGAGTCCCACAGACGCTTCCATGCTGATGGGAAGAGAAAAAAAAAATCCAACTTCATTGACATTTTGCTGGCTTGGATGGGTTTCCACTAAGCTAAGCAGTCCAACAGATCAACCCCTCCCTGGGTTTTCCGTTTCACTGGGCAGATGGGAATCAGGTTCTTGCTCTCATTTAAAACGGAAAGGCCCTGTCCCTTACCCCATTTCCTGTTCAAAGGCACTTATCAGAACTTAGGCTCCTGCCCTTTGAAAGTTGCACAGAAGAGGCTGAAATAAGTTAAGGAATCAACCTGGGGTTAAGGAAGAAAAAAATCCTAAACTGGCAAAGTTAGGGGTGGAGCCCAAGGTGAATTGACTCTGGCTAAAAGGCAAGACCTGAAGAAGGGGGCGTGGGTGGAGAAACACCAGGGACTGCCAGGTGCATTCCCTTACCTTCATCCTACTCCACCCCCTGACTGCCTTCTCTCCTGAGTCACCCAATGAACTTCAAGCCAAGCGGCTTGTTCCCAAATGAGTGAGAAGGGGACAGAAGGCAAAGAGTTAGACATCAAAGAGATCACAGACCTAGTTTGGGGGCCACCTATGGAAAAAGACCACCCTAGGTCCAGGGACTTCAAACCTCATGGCCACCCATAATTACCCATGGCAACTGGGCAGGAATACTACACATTGTTGCCCATGGTTGAAACCTTCCCTCTGTCCCATATACTGCAATACTACTGTTGAGAGACATGGCCCTAATAGTAATGATAGGAACAACAAACAGAATCATGGAATCACAGGGTCTGATTGATACAGCAATGGGACAATGGGACCCTGAATAATTCAGTAGGATATTTAGGAATAATGAATACACAAAACAATCCCCCAGATCTAACGGCAAGTGGTACAGAAGTCATGGGAATATTATTCCTTTTGCACTTAAGCATTCGATCAGAATTTCAATATGATATGATGTGAATTTAAGCTCAGTGTTTAAAAACATGACAGGCCAAATATGCAAAGTAGACAGTAGGCATGTGAACCCACCTGTTTAGGATTCAGTTCTTAGATTAGAAGCAGCATGTCCCAAGGACAGGGGATCTATAGGTCACTAGTTCCCTAGCTCCCTGAGCCCCCTCCATGAAATCAGGGATCCAGTAGAAGTGGGAAGCACTTCTCTCCCTGCACCCATTTGGGAATTAAAAATGTGCATTACTGTACTCAAAGCTCTGAGTAATCCTGCAGTAAAATGAAATAAAAACGTCTCTAACCTAAAAAAAAAATAAAGGTGACAGGCTACTAATGAACTCTCTACAGATGAAAGATGAAGCAGTCCAGACTTTGTGGACTTTGTGAACTGCAAGGAAGTACAAGGCAAGTGACATTCTTAACCTGTACACAGATAGTTCCCCCCACCATCAGTAATATCTGAGTGTTTGTTTAGTATCCAAAAAGATCACAGTAATTCTGCAGAAAGATTTGTTCACAAAAATAAGGGATGACAGTTTTACATTGGGGGGAAATAAATTAAAGCAATAGGGTATTCCAGACTAAAGCCCAAGATAACTTGCTTCTTCTGCTCCCCAAGGGAAGGCTTAATAACTCACAAGAAGAGGAATATCAATCCTTTAATATGCTAGGACACCGGACAACAAAGAGCTGCTGAAATCAAGACTTGTGCTCCTGTTTTTCCACTAGGCAGTTGGGACTGTGCTCAACCTAAAAAGTCAAGGGATTGTTAACATAGGGCTGATTATGGCCAAAGAGGTGAGAAATTCAGGTTGGCAGGAAATTTACTAAGCCAGGGGCCAGCCATGCACTGCAGAGTTTGTTACACCAAACACCTGCCCCATCGTTCCCTAAAGATTCCCAACGCACAGCAGAAGCCGGCTGGGGATGAGGTCAGGAAATGACAGAAAGGGAACTCTCTTACCTGGCTGCTCCGTACTCAGGGGGATGCTGATACCTCATCAGTTGCCCCTCTGCTCTCCCTGGCTGGTTCAGACGATGCTCACTATAGAAGTGCCCTGGCTCTTGGGGCTTGCACACTACAGACTGGGGTGGCATGCCCTTGAAGGGATACTCTGGTGGGGGGCCTCGGTGTTCCATGCCCTTCAGGCTATGCTGGCTGGGAGGTGGCCCTTGGGCCTTGTAGAATTCACTGGAACTTGTGGGATTCTTGTAGAGGTCATTGGGTTGTGGTGGGGAAAGGGGAGCACTGGTAACTGGTGGATGGGCTTTAACTCCACTGGTGGCCAGTGACATCTGCATTAGTCGTTCACTCAAGGAGCGAACATGTCCTTGCTTAAGGTCTCTGAGTCCTTCATCCTGGTGCATCTTCCCCGGATTAAGCCGCTGAACTGATGGGCGTCCCTCCGTCCTCATCTTCTGATTGGTGACTCCAGTGACATAGAAGGCAGCTCCAACACTGGCATGCTGTTGGCCTCGAAAGTACTGGGACTGGACCTTGGCTTCTTCATAGGTGGGGAGTTCTTCATTATTCTGCATTCGAGGAGAAAGCTGCTTCTCCATGATGATGTTTTCTGACTGGATTTCCTGCCCCTGAGGTTCCTGTCGAGCAGCATGAGCCACAAGCTGCTGGTGGTGGTCTTGGGGACTCAACACATCATTCTGAGGGCCTGGGTTCCCAGTGCCACTGGGGAAAGGAGGGCCATTCCCTGTGGCCTGCTGGTGTATGGCAAGCAGGTTGCGATTGTCATTAGGGTTGCCATAGCGAAGCTGCTCTTGTAGCAAACGCTGCAATACCGTGGTTCCTCCACTTGGTTGTTCTTCAGAATTTCTCATCTCTATTGCTGGTGGTGCCTTGTGAAGAGAGAGAGAAATTGGGCACCTGGGCTGCCCTTGACCTGGGAAGGGGAAACAGGAAGCTTAACACCCAGTTGATGGATAAATCATTCCTCTAAAAGGGAAGAAAATGGGTATTTCGGGGCAAGGATTCCTTGCAGAAGCAAATAGAGGACGGAATCTAGAATTAACAGGTTAACTGGTGGCTACTCCTGGCTCTAGCATTGACATGAGGAGGAACCTGAAGGCGTAAGAGCTTTCTGTTTCCTCTTTCACTTTTAGCATGGGTTAAATATTCAATCTTGACTTAACTCCTAAGAAGACTGGGGAAACCTGGAGCAGTCAAGTAGGTTGATCAGAGAGGGCAATTCCCCCAGGTCCTCATTCACAAGGTTCATCTCTCTGTATTCGATTTAAATGCAAAATTCAACTCTTAAGGCTGTGGCAATGGGGGCAGGGTAGTAGTGAGAAGTTACCCCATAGACAGGATCTGTAAGGCAATTCAGCATGTGAAGGGAGCTACAAAATGCCAAATAATAGCTAAAATAAGTAACAGGTGAAGAGCATGTGGCTTGCACCAGGCAGAAATGATCCCTGCGTGACGCCAATCTTTTTTTCTCATCTCATAAAATTCGTAAAACACACACACACACACACACACACACACACACACACACATATATAATCCTTTTTGCACTGTCTGTTTTGGATGCTCCTTGGCTTAATAAGAGAGGGGTCTGGGATAATTGTTACTGACAAAATTTCTCTTTCAGCCATCCGGGAATGGTCATTGAGAATTTTTTGCTGTTGTTGGGTAGGAGGACCTTAAGGGGGAAATTCTACTTTCTCTGAAGTGTTTGTGTGACATTAGAAATTGAAAAAGAAAAAGGTCATCCTTCTGGAAAGGGTATGATCACCATATCCCCCCCCACACCCCACAACCATTAATTCTTAAGAAAGTAATACAAGTTAAGTGAACCAGTTATCAGTAGTAAGACAATTCAAGATTCAAATTCTAATCATGATATGGGCTTATAGGACTGCCTAAGCAATTGGTTCCTCTTTTCTCATCTTCTGTTTCCCCACCTGAAAAAAAGTAGCAGGTGACCTCTCTCTCTGGTTCTCTGCCCCTTCTGAATAGTACACATGAACTCTTTAGAGGCTCATAAAATCTGTGGACAGAATCTGTCATGGTAAGTACTGCAATCCAGTACTAATGTTCAATAATGAAACTTTCACTCTAAGGGTCTTAAGTAGTATTGGACGATAAGACATGATGTCACACAAATTGTCATAATAAAGGTCAACGTAGCCAGCCTCAGGTTCCTAGATAAGAACTCTGGAATCCTGGCCCCAAGCCCTAATTCCTGTGATATTAAACAGTCTCCAGTCTCTCTGGAAACATGGCCCCCTTTCCTTTAGTCTTGCAGAGTGACCGTGAAGATGTATGTGGCAGATGGAGAAAGGTCATCTTTCCTCGGCTCACACTTCTTGCATGATTACTGTTACCTGGTCTCCACCTGTTCTGTTGAGAAGTTTGACCCCACAGTTGACCTTCCAAAAGCCCTTTTTAAGTCCCATTCATCATATTCTTTGGGGATGTGCACACCAAGGGGCTGAGCAACCTCCCTTCAAGCCCCCTTTCCCTCCTTCCCAGTGACCCTCTGAGACTCCTGTAATTAAACTGTCAGATTGGGATTTTCTAGTAAGTTTACAAATATAACATATCAATCTATTTTGGTGCCTGAAACTGGAAAGATGACTGTCCAACTACCTTTCTCTCTCAAAAAATGGAAACGGGAGCATGTACGGTTAAAAAAAAAAATCATTTACAAACCCTTCCTGCAAGGTAGGGAAATCCAGCCACTGAGCTGCCCCATACCCTGCAAGTACCCCACCCCCTCCCATTCCACAACAGACCCACCCTGCACACACACACACACACACACACACACACACACACACACACACACACACACACACACCAATGGTTCATACCTATTTCTGCTTTCTTTTAGGCTTAAAGCCTTGATCAGGATAGGGAATTCTTGCTTATGAGCAGCTCCAGAAACCGCAACGGTAGATTCCCACTCCCCTAACACTCAGGTTCAGGGTAAGCGCCGCCAAGAGTCCAACCACTGGTCACTCTGAAATGTTTGGGAAGGGGAGGGAGGAAGAAATAAAAACGTCGTTTCTATTTTGCCACCAATGGCCAGCACTTAACCAAACCAGTCCTTCCAAGGGAATGACTTGTCCTCCCCTGTCCTTGTCTTTTATATGAATGGCAGAGTCCATTTCCACCAGGACAAAGAGAAACCTCACTATCCAGCAGCTGTGTTCAAGAGGTCAACCAGTCGCCAGGGGATGGAAATGTTCAGGTCTGAGACTGGAAAAGATTGCTCTGTTCTGGCCTCCCAGCCCCCGAAAGTCACTACTTCCATTCTCAGTTGGAATGGTAGGTGTTGACAAAAGCCATACCCACTGTCACCTTTAAACACCTGTCAGTAGCAGGGCAGCTGAGTGATGCTCTTTGCCCCACATCGCAGAAGGGAAGGCAGTCATCGGAAGATAGGTTTTTCGTCAGAAAAAGACAGCTCAGTGAAGCTTCTGATTTAACTGCCACAGCCTCAGATGGGCTGAAGAGAACTAAAACTTGCTTTTGACCAAGTCGGTAAGTATTTATTGCATATGGGCTATTCCAGACATTTGCCAGCTTCATGCTAGACACAGTGTGAGATACAAAAGACACACAACATATAGTTCCTGTACTCACAGAGCTTACAATCTAGAGGATTGATGGCCTCGATGGCCCAGTCAATCTTACCAAAGTAGGAAAGGTGATTGCTCTTCTCAACACATAGCAGCAGCTCTTCCCCAAGGAGAAGATGCCTCCAGTTGCTTTCCCAGCAAGAAGGAACTTCAGGACTCCCATTATAGAGACTAGCTGCAAGTGCCCTCCAGATATGTATTTCATATCTAATTACTGCTCTGAGCCTCTGCAAAGCCTTGCAGGTCCAACCAAAATGGTTATGAAAGTGAGGAGTTTGTGTTTAGGTGAAATGCACATGATACACATTCCTATTTTCTGTCCTGGCCTCACCATGACTCACTCATATCACTTGAAGGAAAAGCTTTAATCTGCACCACAGATGCCATTTGAGGAGCAAGGCAATGCAAAGGAAGCATACAAGCATCTCTGTTTCTTGGGAGCATGTCCAAAATATCCAAGTTTTTTTTTTTAATCTACAAAACCACAGTGATTAATTTAACATTATTTCCTTGCAATGTTGCCAAAAATAAAGTGAACAGATACGGAGTGAACAAAACAGAGAAATTTGTCTTTCCATCTTGTTTAGGCCTATTGTATAATCACCATCAAAAGCAACATCATCTTCAGTTTGTAAGGTAATTGTTTTAGGGTGTCTCCCCTAATTTCAAAGCAGAGGAACAACTCCTAATTGGAGTCAAAGCTGGACTGTTAACAGAACTATGATAAATAATCACCGTGCTTCTACTGTCCAATTCTGAACAAAACAGTTGTCTTTTTTTCAAATGAAACATTGCAGAAAGCAACCCAAGGCTTTTAAACTTGAGCCCCTGGCGAGAAACCACCATACAATTCTTTTCTAGTACTAGTTAGATTCTTCATGCTGATTTTGACTGGCTTGCTCCCGACACCCAGCTCCTCAGCAAGAAAACTTCTTGCCCAAAGTCTTACCCTATTTCCTTAATTTTGTCCCTTTTACTTCATATCCTTTTCAAAACCCCAATCACTTTATTGTCAACTGGACACAGATTGTCCCTCCCCACCACCCCACCCCTGGCCTTTTTTGTTTCTGTTTAACAGAGGAAAAGAAATCAGCCTAAGGAAAAGCTTTGCTGATTCCTCTCCAGTTTACTGATTTTTCTTCTTTATGTTCATCTACATGTTAAGAGGCACACACAGAGGAAAACACTACTCTGTATATTTATTAGAGAAAAGAAAGGAAAAGATTCCTTGTTCCATGCACAAGAACTAAAATAGTATGAACTCTGCAATCTTTAATTTGCCCGGAGCCAGGGGTCTGACATCCTCTTTGATCAATGAAATAACCTTATTTCTCCTGGACAAACTGTCCCTGAGGATATTTGGTAGCGGAAGAAAGGATGTCCACGGTTCTCTCATTAAATATGTAATTTGCATCTATCTATTCAACTGTTCTGTAACAACAGGGCAGCAAGGCGAAGCTAAATTCTTACTCCATTTGCAGTCATTGGTCTCTCCCAGTATGCCTGGGAGGTTGAGCCAAAACACATTTCTCAGAGCCCAGATGTTTCCCAAGCCACGTCCCAATCAACATTACAACGTGGCCAGGGCAGACCAAATTCCCAACCTTCAAATCAATTTTAAAATATGCCTCTAAGATCTTCTTTCTATCCCTTCTACCCACCTCCCCCTATTCTGCCCCACCCCTCATTCTACCAACCAGAATGAAGGATCTAAGTCTAGGAAACAGAAACCTGTTCCTCTGTGAAATCTTGGTCAGTTGTTTCATACGATTTTACTTCCAGCTAAATGGAAAGGAGCCTGTTCAGTTTCCCTGTATCTTTGTGCATGTATGTGTGTGTGAAACACACACACATGCATGCACCTACACATACACACATTCTCTCTCTCTCTCTCTCTCTCTCTCTCTCTCTCTCTCTCTCTCTCTCCCACACACACACAAGGAGGGAGGCAAAACGGCCCACTGAGTTCTTTCATGCCCTTTCAGGTTGGTCCATATAGCAGCTGAAGTGTCTTAGAGAACACCTTTCCCAACAGTCTTGCAACTGTTCAGGATACTAATTCAATTCCTTTGGGAGGTAAGAAACAATGATCCCTTTGCAGGTTATCCCTAAACTTTGAAGGGTTAACAGGCACCATGGTTAAGAGCCTGGGCCTAGACACACTGCCTAAGTCCAAATCCTCAATGTCTGGCTTACTAACTGACCTCGTACATGTCTCTTGACCTCCCCAAGTCTCAATTTCATCATCTGCAAGATAGAGATAATGGTGCTCATACTTCATAGGGTTGTTATA